CTGCCCGGGGAAGTTCCGGCAAGCCCAGCTTGCCCAAGGGGTGAACGGGCGCCAAGGCACCCCGTTCTGCACTCCCTGCCGGCGGTTTGCAAGAGGGAGGATGGGCTAATTGCCAAGGGAGCAGGTCCCGAGCTGGGGCTCTTGGGTGCTTTAGCCACCATCAGTGAAACAAGCGGCCTCGTTCTCAGCCCGGCGCCGAGAGCTCCCATCACACCGTTATCCCTCGTTCCTGCCCCAGCCCTAGCACTGCCCCGAGGCTCAGCTAGGGCCGGACACTCTGGACCACATCGGAGATCTTCCTAGTGCTGCTGGGAAGAGATTCTGCCTCCAAATAACATGGTGAGATCCCCGCCACGTCCCCCGTGCCACAAGGGCCCTTTAACGAGGTCCCAGCACCCAAACGCACACTGTTACTTTACAGACCCTCACCACTGGGCTTTGTGCCTAAACTGGGGCTCTTTGAACGTCGGTGCAAAGTGACACGCTGCAGGCCCCACGCGGTGAACTCGCTCACTGGCCAAGGGCCTCTTTCCGGCCGGGGCGGGTGCCAGGCGAGACCACGCCGAGCCCCTGCTGGGTTTGCTACGGGGGTCCAACCTGCCGCCACGCTCAGCCAGGCCGTGCATGCAGAGGGACAAGGGCCACGGACTCACGTGCTTGCTTCTTCAGCTCCTCATCCTCGCCGTCCGTGAAGATGAACGTCTGCAAGAGAAGACGAGGCAACTTTGAGAACCAAGGTGGCTTCACGCTCGCTCTCGGATGCGGCTGAGCACCACTGGCTGGGGCAGCCCCTGCGGATCAGCCCCACAAGCTGCTGGCGGTGACTCGTTCCTCCTCGTTAAAACCCACCGCAGCACCCGAGCCCCTCTCACGAGGCAGGGCACAGGGGCCGGCGGGGTCCTGTCCCCGAGCCGGCTGGGGATGGGCATGGGGGAGGCATGGGATGGGGAGGACCGAAAGCTGTGCCGGCCAGATGGTGCATTCAAAGATGCTCGTGCAGATATATCAGAGGAGGGAGACAAGAGCAAGGGGAGAGGAGTGAGGCTCATTTTGGAGACGCATCCAAGAGCTAAGGCTGCTCTGCTAGGCGAAGGCATCACCATCATTGTCCACGTGATGCTGAGACTGATGGGGCGCCCAGCTCAGCTGGAGTTTCCTCTAGAAAGAGGGCTGGAGGCTCAGGTCAACTCGCCGGCTCTCCCCTTAAGGGCAGCAAAAGGTTAATAACTCCTTGGGGGCGGTAAAGTAACTGCGACTGGGATTTTCTTCTTTCTAGGAAGACGCAATGACCTGGAGCACCCCGTCACCACCAGCCCGTGATGGGGCCGCACCGCCCCAGGGCGCAAACCACAGCCGCTTTCTAGCATCTCCGTCCCCTCGCTTTTCCCCGCAGCGGCGGCAAGGAGGCAGCAAAGCCGGAGAAGCCCCCGGCTGCACGGGAGCTGGGGGAGACGCCGAGGGCCGCCCGCAGCGCGAGGCGGGGGC